AAGTCCATTTATCTTCCTCCTCTTCCTCTTCCTCCTCTTCCTCCTCCTCCTCCTCTCTGCCCTCCAGCAGTCACTTATAATGTTCTTCATTAGAGAGACGAGAGGCGACACACACACACCTTTGGCAGACACACACACACACACACACACACACACACACACACACACACACACACACACACACACACACACACACACACACACACACACACACACACACACACACCCCCTTTCATTGATCTCTGACTGATTGAGGTCACCAAGGGCCGGGGTCAGGGGTCAAATACACCTCGCAGGCCATCGATGCCACGGTAACAGGCTTCACCCCGGAGGAAATTGTTTATAGGCTTTTGGCAAAGTCACTACAGGGATCTATGAGGCCAGGCATTAACATGTTGCTACTTTCAAGATATGTTAGTCTACTCCTGTACGTCTGCAGATGGTCAAAACACCACAGATATATTAAAGGGTATAGCTGGAAGGAAATAGGAATTGTGTTAATGTGATACTCTGAGCCTAAACATATGATTTTCATTCACCTTCATGGTTTTATCTATTCAGAAAACTCCATGTTAGAGCATTAGCTTTGATCAGGATCCAGTGCCTTTTAAATCTGCAACAAATAACCATTAAGAAAATGCTTAATATGACTGTTTACTTATGTTCTCTTGTGTGCTTAAGATTAGACATTCAAAATCACGATAAAAAGAGAAACAACTCAGAAAGCAGGAACACAAATCTCCAGTGTCAAAGTCCCACACGTCTGCTATATAATTATAACATTGTGAAATGCATATAATTGGTATCTGTTGCTTGAGATTGAAATCAAAGACAGTCACGAAAGACTCCAGAAATGCTGCTGGTGTGGGTTACCCTGAAGAAGAAGGGATGCATTGTTTTGATGCAAATGGTGCCAATTTGGTTCAAAGACTTACACGCAAAAACAATCCTCACTGTAGACCGGTTGAAACACATAACCCAGCGCAGTAAAATGTCACTAAGCGTGTTTTTTTTTTTGTTCCAGGAATTGTGTGATATGATTAGAAACAAAGCCTTGGTGCCTGCAGAGTGCTATAGCTCATTTATTGTGTTTTGGGGAGGTGTCTGGCGGACAGTAAACAGGCTGTTTGTTGTGTCTGGTCGCATCACAGAGAGGGGATCAATGCGGATCAACAGAACAGGCCCCAGTTTCTCTGTGTGTATTGATCTGCTCCAAAATTACTTTTCGTAATAAAGCCACACACACACACCACTGGGATCTTATCTGTGCGCACACAAAGAACAGGGACACACACACACACACACACACACACACACACACACACACACACACACACACACACACACACACACACACACACACACACACACACACACACAAACACACACACACACACGACACACACACACACTAACGTACACGTAACGTACGAACGACCACACACACACACACAC